ATAATAGATCTAAGAAAAATAGAGAAAAAATAGGTTGAAGACGTTCTGGTATGTTTTTCGTCTCTTCTAGGGTTTTAAAATATGCATTTATAGTTGTTTCCATAGGTAATTGACTTAAATTAGGAACCAAAATTTTTTCCCCGATTTGGCCTAGACGGGCGCCCAGTAGAAAATGGGATGGCCACCCAGGCAAAATATTTCCTTTCTGTATTGAAATTCAAGGTCGGGCAAGCGCTTGGGCGGGCGCCCAGTACACAGTTGGACAGCTTTCAATATTTTGGTCATATCTTCTTCTCTCGATATCCAATTGAGTTAATTCAAAATGTATTAGAAAGCTAACTCAAAGGATTACAACTTTTCTTTAGATACTATCTTCAATTAGATCGTTTACCGTATCAAAAGTGGGTCTCAAACTGAGATTGAAAATCCGATGCGGAACTTTTCGATTGGAAATTGATTGTGATCCTACCTTGACGACATTTCATCCATTTGACTTCTTTCTTCATTCAATTGACTTATAATACTCTCAAATCTTCATTGTGAGGTTCAACATGGCTTTTGAGTATTTGCACTTTAATCCTCAAACTTTCACTTTCTTTCACTTTGGTCTTTTTCCACTTATTTATTCCAAATTACGTTATATCCATCAAATTGTCACTTAAACCAAAACATGAGATTAATAAGTACATTTTGGCATAAAATTATCATACGAGCACATAAAATAAGGAGGAAAAAATATGCATTTTACATTCCTATCAACAGTAGTATGGAAGACCTTCGCAATGTCGTTCATATACACGATTGGCATAAAATAATCATACGAGCTTATTAAATAAAGAGGAAAAACTATGCATTTTGCATTCATATCAGCGTACTAAGATGTGCAATAAAATTTGAAACCTCCTTAGCACCCTCATTATCCGCTTATCCTTGCACGTTGCCTAAGTTTAATAACCCCTTAATAGGGTTTTTTTTTCTCGGTAGGATGGAAGTTTTTATTAAGGAATAAATTTCACATCGTCTAATTATCAAAATATTGATCAATATATAAGAGTTTTGTATACTACTCTTAATAAAGTTGACATTTTAAGATGTTAGCATCAGTTTAACTAATCATACTTAATTGATCAAATTAAATGAATAATGTGGTACTCCCTCCATCCCTTTTATATAGACTTACTTTCCTTATTTTCTTATCCCACTTATATAATCTTGTTTTTTTTTTTTTATTGAGAATGTTTAGTGTTGTTCGTTTACTAATATATTCTTACTTTATTTATCTAACTATAATCAATTTACTATTAGTTGTTGATAATTAAATAAGGGTAAAATATGAAAGTTTTTGACAAAAATTACTTTTTCAATAATAATAAATAAAATTTCTTAATCCGTGTGAAAAACAAAATCAATCTACATAAATGGAATGGAGGGAGTATTACATAATTATTGTCTAAATATGCTTCATAGACATATCATTTACAAGTAATTTTACATTTCTACTGTGTAAGTTACCTCTTTTTAGTATATAATATCAACTCTCTTCTCATAAATTCAATTTGCATAAATAAATGGTCATAAGTACAACTAATCAAAATACATATTTATATACATGTTGAAATGAATATTATACTTTAAAAAGAGTATTTTAATTTTTATTCAGTGCACTTGAAATGTGGAGCAACTGGAGAAAAACATGTTGAATATTCAAAAGGTTGAGCTCTCTCGAATAGCTTGCATATGTCTAAGTAAAATGAAAATAATTTGAGCTGTAGAAGTCGGAGTAATGGGATTCAAGTTGGATTTGAAAGATAAGAAATCGATTTACAACTTTCATGTTCGAAAGGAATTCAAATCCGCATCATAGAGCAGCCGAAAGTACCTTTCAAAGTCCAAATTGAGACTTGCTGTGTACAACTTTTCCACCAGTGAGCAACACTTAGTCTTTTGGCCATATTTGAAGGTATAGCTATTCAATGGACCTAATATTTACCAATGGAAAGATAGCTCAATTGGCAACAATTCATCTTTTGATCAAAAGTCCAAATTCGCTACACATCATAGCTAAAAAGTTATGTCAAATTGAACATGCTAGCTAAGTTACAATTTTTCACCTGCATGTTGTATGTTTCTTTGCCTATAAAAGGGACCTTGGCCAAGTATTTGAGGCATTAATTTCTCTTCATAATATTTTAGTTTTCTTCATTTTCTCTTTGTTACATTTTCATTATGCATTTCTAAACCTTTAGGTAAAGTTAGGGGTGAAACTTTGATGAATTTGTGGTATTGTTATCTGATCTTTCATTTTGTTCTTCAATGTCTATCTTCTTAGTTGTTTGAAGTGTTCACCCTATGCCGACCCCTAGTGGTGATGTGTCAAATTTTCGAAGGGCACGGTTAACAAGAACCATTGGGATGGTTGATCTTAACTATTTTTTACGTATTTATTTGAACAGTATCGGATATTTAATTTCTAAAAAACACCCAAGAATGATTTGTGTTGACTTTAAACACACCCACCCACCTCAATAAAATTTGATTTAATTTTTTACCCTTTTGAAAAGATGGAATAGAACAATCTTGGCTGCCTCATTATCTTCATAAAAGGGCAATTAATTGAAAAGCTATTTAAAGCACTTCATTGAAGAGGGAAAAAAATCTTGGCGTTCTTGTCTCTCAAAAGAATAAATTTCACTATTGGAGAGAGAGGTTGATCTAGGAAAGGTATACTAAGTAAGATGATTAGTTTTGTATGGTTGGGAATAAGCCCAGCTTGAATATTGTGCTAATACTAAGCCAGGGGAATTTTGCCGACAAATAGTTGACGTCCTATGAATTGATAAGATCAATTAAATGTATAGATATGAGACACACTTTATTAAACATATCATTTAATGTCACATCGAATCTAACTTGATAGTTGACCTTGGTATGGGAACGCTATCATTATGGCGTGTGGCTTTCCTCGACTCTCCTCCATTTTTATTTTCCCCAAGCTTGTGCAAATTCAGACTGAATAGAGTCTGGCGTATTGCTCAAGCTCTATAACCTTTATATAGCCATGGGGAATTAAATACTGCCTCAATTCTTAAATTATGGTCCTAGAATTTCACGTCCCCAAGTTTTGTCATATTGAGTAAGCCAAGCATAAGAGATATGTCATGGTTGGACATGAATGAACGTCGGACTGCCTGCCTGCCGATTGATGCTGGATTTATGAAACTAATATCATTGTCTCACTATCTTATTCAGTCATTCTTGTTCGACTCTGGACATGTGACAATTACTAGGCAAGAAACCGGCAAATAAAATCATTTGCTAATCTGAAGCGGATGTTAGCTTTCTAGAATAATGAACTATATATATATATATATAATTTTTTATTTTTTTGGGAATTTATGACCCTGTTGGGTGAAGAAGCATCCAAAGCATATGCTACACAAGTATGAAGTACCTTTCATATTGATGGATACATAAAAGAAAATTATATTCTACACCCAAGTCATAAATTCTAAAAAACTATATCAACACATCACAATTTTGGTGACAATATGTATACATGAGGACAAGAGAAAAAGTTTAGCCCACTAGTATTCAAAATCTTACGAGATCAAGTCAAATCCCACAATATCATAATGTGAAGTCACCGATCAACCAAAAGAAGGCATATTGTTGTCTACTTTGTGCAGGGTCCATTTGGAAAGGTTTCTACTTCATATAAGAACTTCTTGACGAAGTTAACTTTATTAGTATTTAAAAGCTAATTTTTTTAAAAAAACTTTCTTTTTCTAAAGAGTTACTAGAGAAGCCACTTTAAGCTAACTTTTTCTAAAAGTTTTTATAATTAGAAGAAACGCTTTCATAAAATTAACCAAATTGATCCCAAAGAAGCTTTTGAATATCAAAAGTCATGGCAAACGGGCCTCAATATTTTGTACAAGCAGATTGGTCGATCCATTTTCCTTAAGCCCAATACCCAGCCCATATCTATTCTGCAATTTGGCCTTCAAATCCTCAATGAAGAGATTGAAATTTCCATGAGATGAACCCTCTGTTGCCAATGCATTCTCTAATCTCCTTCTCACTTCCTTAATTGCATTTCTTAATTCTTCTGAACTTTTTCCACTCATTAAACACTTAAGCCCTGTTTGATAGGGCATTATTTTCCATGAAAAATGGAAAACAAATATCAACTTCCATTTTTGCCTTGTTTGAAAAAAAATTTCCACATTTGGCTCACATGCACACAAATTCCTTGGTTTCCATCTTTTTTTTTAAAGCAATTGGAATTTTTTTTTTTAAATACAAAGGTAAAAAAAATTTATTACTTTCATACAAAACAAAGCCAAATGAATGGTATTTGGTATGGTAATTTTTTTAAAAAAAGATTTTTTAGAATTTTTTTTTTTTGGCAAGTGAAACAAATTCTAAACCCAATGGTAAAGAAAAATATCACTTTAATGGATAATTTTCATTAAAAAAAAGTCAAACGGACACCAACTTTCAACATTTTTCAGGTGAAGAATTATATCAATCAAACACAATTAATTACAATTCATAGTAAAACAATTTCTAGATAATTCAATTCCTTAGAATTTATTTTTTTTCCACCCATTTTTCACCTTTATAATCAAACGGACCCTTAATCTTCTTTGCCACTTCTTCCCTCGTAATTGGTGGCTTATTGGAAAGGTTAACCCTAATTTTC